GAAACTTGACTTTAACTCGTAGAAAACGACACCTTTTAACCAACAGAAAAGCAACAAAAACAACTTTTTCTGTGTGTTTGTTTTCAAGATACTCACGTCCATGAACTCCACATTGGCCTTGGGTCCCGTGGCCTCATTTAAGATTTTAATGGCTACAGGAATTTTCACTGTTTCACCCTCTGGGACCCAAATACCCTAAAGAAGAAACACACACACACAAAGAGATGATGACTCATTACGCTAATTGCAAACTCACAAATCTCCCACTCACAAAAAAAGAGAAAAAAGATAGATGTTATAGATCCTGGGGGAACAGGAAGAATTTCAATTACTAAATTGGACATTTTTCACCGTGAATTCTCCTTTGTCAGCTTTTCCAAATAACTATGTTCCATATTCTTATGGAAGGTGAACGCACTGCTTGCTGTGTGATTAAGGTGATTTTGCCCTTCAAAAAAAAAAGAAAAAAACTTGGGTAGAACTATTTAATCATTGTGAAGTTTCTAATTTCTAGTAGGATTAAAGTGAATTACAGGCAGCCCGAGTGGACGAAGCGGTTTGAAAAGAGGAGAGAAATGAAGTGCCTCTCAACTTTTTTCAAAATGTTTAAACCGATTCCACCTTTGTTCCACCGTCGTGCGGCGACACAATCCGGGTCCAACACCTCCACCCCCGTGAGCTTAAAAGGCAAGTCCTGTGTTCGACGGCGCACTTCTAAACTNACTATTCTGGTGACTGCTGCTAATTCTTAACTCTGAGTCACAGTGGAGGCAGCGGCAGATCTTGTACCTTGAGCGATTTCTGATCTGAAAATCCTAATTAATGCATAAACAAGCAAACTATTTTTGTAAAATAATTACAGTCGTGACTTGATAATCCAACCTTGAACAATCCTAAACCTTGCTATCCGACAGGTTTTTAGGAAAAACAAACAGAACCCATAAAAAACAGCCTTAACATAGCGACAGCCTTGGATTCTGACTCCGACATGACATTCAATGTCACAAATCAGGATAACGGTGTACTATCTGACTGAACAATCCCACAGATTGGCTACATTCAGACTGCAGGACTTAATGCTCAATGAGGATTTTTTTGTGAAATCAGATTTTTTTTGTGAGTTCGTTCACATTTCCAGTTAAATGCGACTTGTATGTGATCTGCTGTGTGAACTTCATACGACCCAAAAGTGTCCCGCATGCACAGAAGAGGACACAACGACGTCACACGCAGTGAGCGTGCTCAGTGTTTGAGGAAGTAAACACGGGCCGCCACCAATGGAGGAAACTGAACTGTGACTGCTAACTAAACTAGCATCAGCTGCCAACTACTGCCTGTGCGGGTCGACCACTTGCACCCGGTCGGAGCGCTCCCCCGGGGTGGAAGTGTCCCATGACTGCGCCGAATATTTGGGTATTCATCATTAATTGGGCCTGAATATCTAGAGAGCAGAAAGTGATATTGGGACCAGCCCTACCAGTTATTAGAACAACTATGAACAGTAAATATTAACAACAAATGAGCCTTCAAGCATCAAGCCCTCTTTGTATCTCGACCTCCGTCTTCACAATCCGACAGAGAAGACGCTTTTACATTTAGTGTCGGATTATCGAGTCACAACTGTATCTGATTGCACTGAATAACCACAATGCACACTCTAATTGCTGAAGTGTTCTCTTACTAGTCAGGTCAAGAACTTTACTGCCATATGTACACGCAGTTCGGTACGGAGGAATGTTTTGTGCAGGGCTGAAAGAGCTGGGGAGGAAATACACCTTGATATATACTAAGATATACATCGAGGTGTATTTCCTCCCCAGTACCGATGGACTGTCATTTTGGATGTTTATTATGGGTGGGTTGTGTGGTGGTCACTGATTGTTGTAGAGCCTTGGAGTATTTTTCTGGTTTGGCTGTTGGACCATGTACATAAACATTATAAAATCTGTCAAAAACTTGTATTTTATCCCTGGTATGGCATTATAGCCATCAAGACCCATTTTTAAAATACAAAACAGACAGGGACGGCATGATCTGTTTAAAGTTACAGTTATTACAACCATATAAGAGCAGCAACCTCTTAGCAAAACAGGCAAGTATGAGTTTAAAGCCCAGAATCAGGTAAGAGCACAGGCATGAACGGTGGAGTGACTGTGACCAACAACATAAGTGTGACTGTGAACGTCTGAACTGTTCTGAACATTATTATTTAACCCTATCCAGGACTTTCATGTTGTCATACGTAGAAGGAATATGTGCAAAATATGTGTTGGTATTCTTTATAGACTTTTATATTAGGTTCAATACATTTTTCTGATAAGTTTATATATTTGTGATTCCAAATGCACGACAAATGTGCCTCTTTTTATATTTAACAAACAATACCTGTCCCCTAAACCAAATGGCCTGGGGTCCAAAAGACCCCAAAAGTCCTGAATAGGGTTAAACCACCTCTACTGATGTAACCAAGAAGTATTTCCACAAACTTATTTT